GGGTGTTGAATCCCCCACGGGTGCGACGCCCATGGTACCGGCTGCTGTCACCTGTTGTGAGCAGCTCTCTGCTGTCTGAGGCTAGGCCCCGCCCACAACGCCGCGGCTGCTGCGGTGTTTTCTTTACTGTGGGAAACGGGTAATAATGGCTCTTTGATGGAAACAGGTTGCCGACCCCTGGTATAAGATCTGAGCTGGTAAAACAAAAATCCTCATCAGCAGGCTTTTTTGAAAGTGGGGGGGGACACAGCTGCCAATCACAAATTTTGCCGGGGACATGTCCCCGGTGTCCCCGGTTAAAATGACGCCTATGGCTTTACCTGTTGGTCATCCTGGGAGAGAGGCCTTCTACTGTTATCATGTTAATGTTATTTAGCTGTTTGATATTTGAACACATTTTTTAAAACAAATACTGATAACTCTTTCTGGTCATTGATTTTATCACCAATTTTATTAGATGTTTTTGAACATGTTACATGAACAGAAAATGAAAAGATGGTAAGGAGACAAGATTATTTATAATATGTTACAATTATTTACAGATCAAAACCAGTATGGACCAGTTTTGTACAGTTAAAGCAGGATTAACCTGAGTGACTCTTCCTGGATCATTTATTCAAACTGAGTGAGCAGGAGGTCTTTAACAGTGCAGCTGGATCTGCTGCAGGAGGATCCAGACGTGGATGGAGGGCTGGAGCAGACCCGTGGCTGGACGTTTCTGGCCAGAGGAACATCTTACAGGACGGTCTGCTGAGAGAGCTTTGGGACGCTTCCTCTCACTGTCCACTCCATCGTCCATCTACAGGGCCTGCTGGGCTGGCTCAGACGACGGCTGTTACATTTCTTTGAATGACTTGCCTGTTAACAATAGTGGTGGTCTGCTGGTACCTCCTGCAGGACAGAGCACCACTGACCTCCTCCACACACATCTTCCTCACGCTCATCCTCCAGACCCACAACTTCACCAGCACAGAGGCAGATGTGCAGCACAGTGCATGCTGACTTGTAATAGATTAAAAAAGAGTTTTTTTAATTGAAAAAATGTAAAACAAAACATATAACCTGCAGTACACTGGTTCTGTTCAGTTTAAAGAAAAGCAACAGGGAAAACTACAGAGAATTTACATTTTAAGACAGATCTAATCATTATTAGGCTTAAGTTGAATAAACAAATGCACATTGAAAACAGTTCAATGCTATTTTATTAAAAAACCTGTTTATTAAAACGTTTTACCCCCATTTGATGCAAAATAAGTTCTAAGGTCCAATTTATATTAGAAAACTACTGAATTCAACATTTATAATGCATTTGGTTTATATTAATTACCTACATGCTAATACTCTGTAGTAATGTGTTGTGTACGTTTAACAAGTTCATTCTGTAGCTTAAAACATACATTAAACCATCTAAAGTTAACATGTAAGTCCTGAAAGCTTCTAGAATAAACAAAGTTACTTTACCTGAAAACGGTTGTGAACAAAATCTGCTGATGGACGTGAAGCTGCTGTAGCTCCTTAATATTCCTGCTCGATTTTCGCTAGCTTTAGCATTTTTCCTTTGCATGTAGCTGTCGCCGTGGCTGTGATGGGACCTACGGGCCACCGTAGAGGTGAAGGCTAGACTGTCCGAATTCAGAGCCACTGAATTCCGGTCTTAGCAGTCTGGCAAGGACCCGGCCTTGCTAGACCGGTGAGGACCCGTACTCGTAAGCATCCTGCCTGTGGATTCGGACACACCCACTGACTGCTCTTTCACATAACCACGTTCGGCAGAACAACTTCCGGTTCAAAAGGCCAACGGATCCATCATCCAATCAGTGATGCCTGTTGTTGCAGCAATGGTACCTACCTTTTCCAGTTTGTTTTTGTGGTTTTCAATTTGGTTTTGCGTTTAGTGAATTTGTTGTTGCGCTTTTCAATTCGTTGTGCGTTTAGTGGTTTGTTGTTAGGCTTTTCAATTTGTTGTGCATTTAGTGATTTGTTTTTGTGTTTAGTGAATTTGTTGTTGCGCTTTTCAATTTGTTGTGCGTTTAGTGATTTGTTGTTGCACTTAGTGTTTTTTTGTTGCATTTAGTGAATTTGTTTTTGCGCTTTTCAATTTGTTGTGCGTTTAGTGATTTGTTGTTAGGCTTTTCAATTTGTTGTGCGTTTAGTGATTTGTTTTTGTGTTTAGTGAATTTGTTGTTGTGCTTTTCAATTTGTTGTGCATTCAGTGATTTGTTTTTGTGCTTAGTGATTTTTTGTTGCATTTAGTGAATTTGTTTTTGCGCTTTTCAATTTGTTGTGCGTTTTGTGATTTGTTTTTGCATTAAGTGATTTGTTGTTGCGTGTTTCAATTTGTTGTTGCGTTGTGATTTTTTTTTGTGGTTTGCACTTCAGGGCCACCGTACATTTCACTATACAATATACATCTCCAGTATAAGAGCACACCACATTCCATCCAATACAGCACCAAAATAACATACATTTCCCATAACATAAAATGCAAATTAGCTTCTGATAGAATGTGTGGGTGCAAATGGTGATGACCTTGTCATATCAACATGCTGAAACATATTTCAGTCACTGTAATCATAACAAAACATTCATTTCAAACTTCAATCATTGAGCACCGATTAATGAAACATTTCATAATATTATAATTATAAGTAGCAATAAACAAATGTTTATTTAATGATTATCTAGCTTATAAGTTGTAGAAGTTCATATCTGATTTAGGAAATCATTCTTTGACTTAGCAACTAATCCGGGCTGTGAGTGTTCCTTATATGGAGGCATGAAGAATCCTGAAAGACTTGACCTTGAGGAGAGAATGTTATGGTTGACATTTCATTATCTGTGTTCAGAGCTGCAGGCTCTGAGCTCCAGCTGGTGGGATGAAGGCAGGCTGATTTAGAAAGGACACATGCAGTCTCGTGTCTTGTTTTTGACCTGATAGTGAATGGTCAACTGTACCTAAAACTGACCATTGCTGGACGTTACAACAGCAACGTGACATGCTTGCTCTGTGTTGATGTTTCATCTCCATTACGCAAGCTTGAAGACGTTTTGCTGTGTGGCGGAGTTCCTAATGCTAACGGTAAGCTTCTACTAGCCAAGATGTGCTCTGATCTCTCCTAAAAGCTAGACCAACAACAGCCTTCCTCGTCACGGCCTGAATGGGTGTCTTCATGAGTGCTAATCTTCAGTGTGACGTGGAATTGACTGGCTTTTCTAATATGAGCATTTCACCGTCTATTTTCTATCAGAAGCTAATGCAGGAAATAGGGGTAGAAGGCTGTTTTCACATTCAGCATGTTAAACTCAGGGTGACCAATTAAATAATCAGTAAGAATGGTTTCTCAGTGAACTTGGTCTTTAAGTTTCTTTGATTGTACACAACCCACTTGGCTCAATGGCAGTAGCACAAGAAAAGATTGTTTATTCCATCACGTGTTACCAGAAAACCAAACACGACTGTGGCATGCACTTTCAATCACACTCTCCTCTAATTCAAAATGGCTGAGAGTCATGTTGATTAAAGCAGACTAGTCCACACTCTTCCAGGAGTAACAAGCCTCAGCTTTACTTTCTCAGTCTGAAAAGTCCTTTTATCCTCTTTTCCACCACAATTTCATGCGGTAAAGGGATGAGCGTCTTTTTTTGACAAAACTACACTGGAGTGGAGTGTTTATAAAAAAGCAACTCTGAGACAAAGCAGAGACACGACATAAAGATTAACCTCAGCTTTTCCACTATTGTTCCACATTTTTTTCCTGTAAGCTGAACAATGATTATTTTTAATTGAAAGATTGAATCCATATGGGTTTTAGGAAGGGAATCCAAAATAAACCAGAATCCTATCTGACTTTGACTTCTGCAGTATTTTACTGTTATATTTCGAAAAGTGCTTCAAATAACTAAAACATTTAGCTGACTTTCATTTCAGGAGTAAATGTGTTTGAATAAAGTTAAACATGCTTTACATCAGATGCTTTTGTTCAAACAGGGTTTGTACAGCAAGATTCAACAGAGATTTATTGTAATTTCTTACATGATAATTAAAAATCTGCTCAGGTAGAAACAAAATGTTGTTTCTCACTAGCTCCCTATCAGTGCCAGTAGTGTAAAAGATATAGTGACTTTGGTCACTATGACCACAAATACATGCTAAGCTAAAATAGACAAAAGAATATACAAGTACAATAAATAAAAACTAATTAAAAATACTAAAAACTAAATAAAACAACAACAATCACATGTCACAGCAGCATCATGCTGCTTAATGGTCTTATAGCCTGTGCAAAAAAACTGTTGTGCCTCCCAGGTGGTTGGAGAGAAAACAGAAACAATTAATATTCATAATTTTTGTTTTACATTTAAAATGTGATCTTTTTTCAGGAAAAGCTCATCAACAAGTGAGGTCTGTCTAGCAAAACAAACTATTCCTATTCAAATGCATAATGTGGGACAATCTATTTAAAAACTGATTAAATACATTTCTGATGTTAAAATAAACCTTGTTCCTCCTTAATTCAATTAGTTGATGTTTCACTAGTGCAATATGATGTTGATTTGCAATAAAAGATTCCAGTAAGAAAAAAAACATGTTTCTTGTAAATACTACAACAACCATTTATGGTGGTTTCCAGAAGCATCTCAGGCATGCCAGATAACTTGTGCACAAAAAGCAGGATCAGCAGGGAAGTTGTGCGCTGATGTAGTTGTGGGATTAAATTTATATGTAACAATGAGCTATATTTTTGCGCTTTTAAGATTTAATGAACTATCAAACAAAACGTCGGCAAGCATGTTTATTTTTTCAGGCATTAAAGAAAAGAAAAGTGGAAAAATCGTGGTGCCGTTCTTACTCAACATTTTATTTTCCATTAAAGGGCCCATTGGTTTTTATTTGATCACATTTTTCTGAAATGATCCTCAATTCTGAATGACTAATACATTGAAGAAAGGCTGTTCAATAGTTCTAGATATTTGGTTCTAACACCAGAAGAACTCCTTACCCTCCTCTTCTCTCTCCCCTTCACCGGGCCTAGTCCTGGTAAATCCACCCTCTCCCTGAAGTGGACCAGTAGACGTGGGAGGCCAGTCCTCCAGGCCTTGAAGGATGAACAAAATGATGAACATGTTTTCCAGACCCATAGTTTTTAAGACCTTGACATTCAACAAGCTTCTCATGACAAGTGGTTAATCTTTAGTGTAGCTATGGCAATACCCCCCCCCCCCCCCCCCCCTCTCCTCATGAGAATCTGAAATCCCACAGCAGTGAAGAGGAAAGGAGACCCAGATGTAGGAAAGCTTGTCTGGTTTTGGATCAGGATGAAGATGGTGGGATGGAGGGGGGGGGGGGGGGGGGGGGGGGGGGGGGGAAATCTGAGATATCAAGGGAACGGGAGAGGCAACAAGTTATGAGGGGATGCTGGTAGTTTATGACACTGCGGGATTTGTTCAAAAAAGGAGTTAGTGGTAGAACAACAAAGGACAAGGTTTTAGGGGGACAGTGCCAGAGACCAAAATGAGTTCAAGGCTGGGGAAAGAGGAAGAGAAAGACTACAGGGAGCTGCAAAATACCCCTGGACATTTGGCAACGTTCCTTCTCCCAATAGCTTTAATGTCATAGACTCTGTTTGGATTGTTTCACTCATTTACTCTGAGCGTCCCTTCTACTGCAGCTTTAAAACCTTTATGATAACGAGTAATGTGAAGAACGTCAGCCGCTTTATGAAGTGACTAAAACCACTAAAAGCGAGCATGTCAAATGAAACTGACTTTCAGACATAGATCACTGACTAACCCGTGAGTCACTCGTCTCGTCACCCCACAGCATGCTTCTGGGATCTCTCACTGCTTCTGCTGCTCACACGATCGTGCACATGTGAAACTTTGACTCTGCGGTATAGTAAACAAAACAGCGGGGCCGTCATGTGAGCGAGTTGCCCAGGTAAATTTGAATGAAGTCAAAATGTGAGTGGGCGTACACAGACAGACCTGCGTGCACATACGCCCAAAACTTTCCACTGTGATCTAGTTGAGCTGCACTCGGGCCGCTTGTGCCACAAGCAAGGGTGTGGGCCTGTTGACTAAAATTAGGTAGATGTAAAATATGAAAGAACTGTGTTGTTTAGGAGAATATTGTGCCCCGTATTTTACCCCGAGATCTTGAGGAACATTATACAAAGTTTTTACTTTCATGATAGGATCCAGCAACTATGTGGCCTTTAAAACTGATAGCATCCATTTTTATTGTACAGCACTCTTACAGAATACAAATGATTAAATCCTTTGATTTCTGAACTGATAAAGAAAGTATTTTAGATTCAAAACACTTTATTTATATTGAAGAAAAGTGAACATGTTTAAAGAGATTTTGAAAAGGCGTCATGATTAAGACTAACTGAGGTGATTCATTTAGAAATGTAAATGTGACTGGCTAGAGTCTTAAAAAGAATCCATAGAACCAAGCACATCACTCCTGTTCTTAAATGTGGTTACAAATATACTGTAGAATGGATTTCAAAGTGCTTCTTCCAGGCAAGTGCGGGGGGAGGGGGGGGGGGGGGGTGCTTGAGACCCTGCCCCTTTTGTCCCATGTGCCCAAAGTGCCCTTTTTGAGGTTTAATGATTTATTTATATATTTATTTATTTTATTTTTTAAAAAGAATTTTCTGTTTGTGCTCCCTCAACAATAACAAAAATAATAATTAATAAAGTTTCTGTTTAATAAAGTTATATAGCTGGCGTGAGTCACGTGACCACCTTCCCTTCCTGACGCCAGAGCGCACAGCCGGTCAGCACCCATGTTTGCTTCATGGCCGAGCGAGCGGTGCAGAGCTTTTAGGACATACATATTGATTGGGAGAAACGGACTAACACCGGTAAGTAGGATGCACACTACTATACACAGTTATTAGATTATTTTGTACATTATTAAGTTGTTTTGTGGCACTAGGTGTGTGTGATATATTACTAGCTGGGTGTGTGTCTGTGGCTGGGTACCGATTCTGAACCTCAGTAGCTTTAGGATTAACCAAAAACATTCTGTACAAAAGTAATTGTACGAAAATATTTTTTCAATCTTAAATATAGGGAATTTGCCAATAAAATGTTGTTGTTGTTAACTAGGTACCGCAAAGTTGCATTCCTATCGCTGCTGCGTGTCACGTGACAGCCCTACTTCTTGTTTACAAAATCACTTCCTGGTTTGCGGACTAATAAAACTTGAACAAATTTAAAATTTAGCTACCTTTTGTGAAAGGAAATAAGAAAAATACTAAAGGTAACATCCGTCACAAGTTTTGTGTTACAAAATATTCAGTCCTTGTCTGTAAATTCTGTCCAGCGTTTTAGGCACTGCTGGACTGACCATAGGGCATAGCGGGCAATTGCCCGCTGGGCCGACCCTTTCATCTTTTATGGGCCGGTGTCTTTTTTTTTTCTGGCCTCTAGTTGTTGCTGACAACTTGTCCGCGCCGCCCCACGCGACGCCTCGTAAAAGTTGGTGGATTGGCCAATTGGTAACAATACACTCTGGGCTGGACCAATAGCCAGAGGTCTGATGCACCCGCCAGTTGTTTGTGAATCTCAGTAAACAGACAGACGAGCTTTACAAAATGGAGAACAAAAAACGGAAAGCAGGAGCGGAGAAAATTCGACTAAAAAAGAAACTGGCCCTTCAGGCTGATGCTGGCACATGTGTTAAAATCTCACAGTTGTTTGGTAGTGAAGGTTCAAGTAAAATCAATTTAGGAAGTGATGGAGCCTCAGCCCAGCGACAGGTTGGAGAAGAAAAGAGGGAGGAGGAGGAGAAACCCGAGCCGGTGTTGTGCCATTAATCGACTCGCTGCCAAAAAATGATTAGCCACCGCGGGATCGCGCACGGTTAGGTAATTGCATTTCTAGACAAAATTCCCCAGGATTTCGCCCTAAAACTCGGCATATCTAGCAATATGGACATTCAGAAAGCAAAGATAACCTCTTCCGGTACTTAAACAGATGTTTATCGCGGATATTAGTGTGGCAGTGTTTGTGGCACCCTGCGCGGGCGCTCGAGGACGTACTTGTGGAAAGAGGGAGGAAGATGTGACAGTGTGAGCATCCTGTCACAATGTCCCGATTGATCTTGCGCCCTGGCTACTCGCCTAGGGGATGTCCCTTTGGCTGAGTGGTTAGAGCGTATGACTCTCTCCCCAGAGGTCTGGAGATTGAATCCCGCTCGGGCATTGTTTCTTCACCTTGCCACATAAGTTTTTCCAGTTCGGAAGTTGTTTTAAGTGTTGCTATTTGTCTTAAACGTTCACAATGAGGATATATTAATCCTTTTTGCAATATTTGCGATTGAAAGATGGTTTGTGGTAAGAACTGGCTTTCTTTATGTTACAGCCTTGATACTAAAAAAATAAATAAACAATGTAAAATGGCACCATGTATTGAATGTAAACGTTGTATAAATGTAAATAAACAATTCTCCAGCGATTTAATTTTTTCCCCTTCCTTTCTTTAGTCCACTTGACATGGAGCCACGGTTAACTAGTTTGGGGCACATTTTTACTTGGAAAAATAGTATTTAAACTGATCAAGCTTTGGCTTTACAATGACACTGTGTAGGTTACTATCTATACATTACGTTGCTCTATTTAAAAGTAACAAGATAAAAGCACATCAGCACATACAATTAAGATTTTCACTTGCCAAATAGAGACTACACCCTCCTGTTTACCTATAAGAAACGCCTCAAAATGTCTTTAAATTCTTTATTGATGATTTAATTGTAGACAACTAAAATGGCATTTTACTTGCCAAAAAGTGATTGAATCGCTCAGATTTTCATGGAGGCTAAAATTGACCAAATAAGGGTTTTATGTATTATCTGTTGATGTTACTGTACTCATACTGTCTACTGTATCATCATAAACACCCCAAAAGTGGCAAAAAAAAAAAGATAATTTCCCTTGCCAAAAATTGATTACAGTGTCCTGGTCACCCATAAAGGCTTAAATTGGCATAAATATGACTTCATTTATTATGATGCTGGGTGTGTTCCACAATCATATTCGAATAAACATGAAAATATTCCGTCCGAATATCTGTTTCTTGTTATAAATATAACAGCTAGAAGGATTTACAGTTAAAATAGGAGAAACATTTCAGGAAACTATTGTCAATTAACCACAGAAATAGGGACTAATAACATCAAGAGATAATAAATAAGGTAATATTTAGGTAAATTTAACCCTTTACACGTGACTCCCCAGGAAGGGTCGTAACACCACTTGCCTCATGCACATAAGTGACCAAAACAAAGCAGCATGGAGACACTCCGTCTCCAACCACCTCTCAGGCAGCAGCCTGCATGATCTACACGTCACCAGAATATAACCAACCGCAACACAATAAAAGCAGTGTTATACAAAATGGAAGGCCTGTAGTGTTTATTCTCTTACAGTAACAACTTATCAATTTTTTGGAGGAATTTATTTGAGATTTTTTGGTTTTTATTAATTGTGCAATAGAAAAATAATTGCTAAATTAATCATCTAAATAGTCATTAGAATAGTTGACTATTCGATAAAATAATCGTCAGAATAATCACTTTAAAAATAATCATTTGCCCCCAACCCTACTTTTTTAGAATACCAGGATAGGAAGGATGGTGTAGGTTTACGTTTATTAGATTGATACATAAATATTACCAATAAGAAAGTGTACGTTGGTGTGTGTCAGAAACAGCGTAAGGCTTAATGTCTTTTCCAAAAACCCAGGTGATGGGCCGGTCTCCAATCAAAATGCCCGGGCTGAATTTTTGTCCCAGTCCAGCCCTGGTTTTAGGGAACATAGTTTTGTTTTAGATTTTAAGGTTTCTCAGCCCTTCTGGTGGGTTTTATAGTTCACTAATTCTATGCATATTCTCAAAATCTTGGAGTTTATATTTGCTCTCTTTTTGAATGCATTGTATTAAAAACATTATGTTTTAAAGATGTATGTTTAAAAAAACTACTGTTTTCACAGCAAAATTATTTTATCTGTACAGTTCTGTTTTGCACAATGTAGATAGTAAAACTGAATGAAAGCATAAACATTGTTTTATTCTTTATTTTTATTA